AACGTCACCTAAAGCTCTGTCCTGAAAGGAGGTGGGTGATATGAATTCATGGAAGACGTGCTTGATGTCTTCTTCTGTGGTTTTGAAAGCTCACTGGAACTGCAGCTCATCTCCAGCTGTGGGAAACGATCGGCCGCTTACGTGTCAGGTTGGGTTTCTGTCTGTAAAATTGCAGCTGCGCTCAAAATGTCATGCTGACCTTACACTGTCAACATTAAACATGCACGCACACAGGGCTTGTTTCTGTTTCCTGTCCGGACGGCGTTCTGATGCGACGCTCGATGACGTCAGGAGGACCGGAGCAGCTCCTGAACACCGACTCCCTCTCAGGAATCTTAAAAACAGCCGCGGATCCAAAGCAGCCGTTTGTTTTTGGGATAAACGAGCCTTTAACAAGGAGGCGCTCCGTTAGTGTCGTGTTTTATTATGATAAGACCACGTCGTGTCTGAAATACTAAAATATATCCAAATCTTTTCAGCTTAATTTGTGGTCATTTAAAATATAAATTACAATCTTATGAAAATGTTCCTAAAATAATTAAATGCAGTGATTTGTAGGTCAATCTGTAAGTGCTCAGGATAAGTGTTGGGGATGACTCTCATCTACTCCCACATCACACTTAAGCTGTTTAATCTGTTAAAGCGACTCACTAAGAGACATGTTTGCGTTTGATAAGGTCAGTTAGCTGTGGCGGCCATGTTGAATTAGGCTGACTCCAGATGTTAGTTGCAGATTTTTATCCAGGGATTCTGCCACTTTCATTACAATCCAAAGAGTGGTTCAGGAAATATTTTGCTAACAGAAACAATAAAACACACACACAAAATTACATGATCACCCTCCTTCCAAGGCAGCAGGTGATAATTATAACTAATATTAAACCAAAAACTTACTTTTGTTTGTTAAAAAAAAAAAACATTTTGAAAACATCTCTACATGCACTGACTTCAGTTGTTGTTTTATTTTTTTTTTTACCCAGAATCCCCTGTTGTTTGTTGCGTCAGGTCGAAGGATTTGATTAAAGACTCAAACTCAACGGTTGACAGCGTTTGTATTTTTGTAGAAGAACCTGGATGAGATGCAGCTCTGTGGAAACGCTTCATGAAGCAAATGAAATGTTGACGCTTTCGGTGTATTTACCGACATATTGATTTATTAAAATAAAATAAGACTAAATTAAATCAGCTGCTTATCAACAAGATGAGAGGAGTTCTTTAAGGTTAGGCATGAGGATTAAGTGAACTAATAACCAATCAGACAGAAAGTATTTTATGAAACAGCTCATCTGAGTCTGAGACTTTCTCTGGGTTCAGTGGATAAAATCAAGTCTTTCTTGTCCTAATTGAACGAGACATTTATCCCTTCCTGTCTGAAACTTTTACACAAACTGTCGTTTACTGTCGGCTTAGCTTTGCTCTCAGAAGTAGAAACAAACCGGCTGTCAGTCTGAAACTTATTAAACAAACTTTAATTAAAAAGAAGTAAATGTACACCTCCAGTGCTGACAAAGTTTGGACATTGTGTAAAATGAAAATAAAACAAAATCCAATCATTTGCAAAAGTAATAAAGACATTTTATTCACAGTGGAACAAAGCCAACATGTCAAATGTTGAAGCGAAGAAAACGTACGGAGTTTTATTTAATTAAAAAAAGGAATATTAATTGAATTTTATGGCAGGATCATGTTTTAAAGAAGCTGTTCCTGGAGCAACAGTCAGTCACTAACGAGGTGAATGATCAGCAGGTCAGTCAGAGGACTGGAGATAAACTGAGACTGTCAGAAGTAAAGACGGGAAGAGGTTCTGCAGTCCGTCTAAAAGAATAAAGTTCCTGAATGAACGACTTTAATCTCCATCATCTCCAGTTCATAATCTGATGTACAGATTAGAAAAGAGCGCTAGCAGGTGGAAAAGAGCAGAGGACGCAGGGAGCTGAAATCATGACATTCTGTGCTCTTTTAGAGCGTTTAGAAACATTGTTTAGAATAATGCAAGAGTGTGGGAAGGGTATGTACATGTATATATACATTTACTACAATAAACTACTACTTACTACTTGTTCTGCAATTCCTACTTCACGGTTTTTCACTTATCACGGGTCTTCAGGGTACGGATCCCCCGCGATAAATGAGGGACTACTGTACATTAATACTAATAAAAACTATCAGTAAAAAATTTGCGAGAGAGACCTTTGAAAATTTTCAAATGACAAATATTTCAGTGAGAGGGAATCCTGTATATATTCATCTCAAATTATATGTCTTCATTCATCAGCGAGGATAGTTAATCACGCAGTACTTTCACTCGTATACGTATCAGGAACAACCTCTGACTTGTGGTGTCAGTTTACAGCCAATAACAGAGACTTCAACATGAATGCCAAAGCAAACCTGAACATGATTTAAACAAGAGCAACCCATTTCCAAACTTAGAAACACAGTAAACAGTCAGAAACACTGTAAACAGTCAGAAACACAGTAAACAGTCAGAAACACAGTAAACAGTCAGAAACACAGTAAACAGCCAGAAACACTGTAAACAGTCAGAAACACAGTAAACAGT